GATAGAGTGACATTTATATCATTTGTCAGTATTGGTTGACACCAAATATCTCCAATCACTTCATCTGTGAAATTTCTTCCAAACCAAGTTTCTCCAAATATTGTTCTTTCTACTCTACCAGATTTGTCGATTTCAGAAGCCTGTAATTCTATTACTGTATTATTCACATTTTTATGAAACCAGTGCACTCGATAGTGTGCAGCTAGTTCATTACTAACTGGCTCCCTAACTTCACAGGACACTCTTAAGTCCCACTTGTTGTCTTCTCTAAAAGGCTTGCAGTCAAGCTCTGGAGGTGGCTCTTCGTGATACTCCAGTATACATTCATTATTTTGACCTTTAAAGTTTATTGATATTATGTACAAAATATTCTATTTGCTAAACATACCTTGTCCTGACTGCACAAACAGTGCAAAGAGCAGTAGTAGAATCATAGCTTTTGCCTTCTGACGGTGTGCAGTGTGTGTGTTCATGTGTTTATACCAATAAGCCATAGACTGACTGACTACATTATACTCTTTATAAGGCAACCTTGTGGTTTGCATCATGTAATATTTACTACACTAAATTTATAGGATATAATTGGTAATGGCAATAAAATTTTTCATATGACAATAATAATAATGATGATCATATGAGTACAATATTTTAGTCAATGATTTTATTTTTTCAAATTTGTGTAGCTGTTGTCCGGAGTCAGAGTATTCTGATCAATCGGCTGATAGCTATGTTTAGTTTTGTTTGGTTCAACCACGCGTGCTTTTGCTTTTACATGTGCACCATCTTCTTCTGGAACTGCACGTAGTGTTGAGATAAACTCTGGGTCTATTTCGTATGTTCCTAAAGCAGCAATTTTCAATAACTCCTCTCCTTTCTTTGAGTCTGATTCTTTGGTGTCATCTTTCTTTTTCTTATTTTTGGTCATGTGAGAATAGGCATAAGCATAATCAGACGATTCGGATACCCTTTTAGGAAGTCTATCATATATAACTTCAGTTGATTTATCTGGAGGAGGAAGTGGAGGAACTAGCAATGAGGATGGGTTTGATGTGCATATTGGAGAATAGTTAGGATCATCAAACAGTCTGTCATACAAGTCTTGTGTTGTCGCTGTTGTGTTGCTTGCGTCTGAGTCTATGAAGCATTCTAATTCTTCAATGTATTTGTCTAGAGTGTGATAAATATGGCTCCCAGGATCAACAACTGGAGCATTATCTCGTGTTATGTCTTTGGTTGGTTGGGCAATTTCATAATCTTTACCGTCTGGTTGATCATGATATTGTTTTGATGATAAATCTGAATGCATTGGCTTATCCGGAGAGTTTTCTTTGTGCGGTTGAACATACGAGTAAGTACCAATAAAGTGTGGCTGGTTCATGAAACCCTGTGAAGCATTTGGAGCAAAACTACAAAGAGTACATTGTTACTGCATTGCTGAAGCATTACAAGCACATTTACCTGTTTTGGTATATTGGAGGACTTATAGTAACTTTGCAACCTGTAATGGGATATGTTTATAATTATAGGTGTGTCATGTACATGCCTAATCTAATATAGTAGAACTGCCTACACATGTTTGTTATTGTGGCTTTAAATCGTGACAGCACCTTTTACTTATCAGTAGGTGTGCAACCACTAACATAAACATGACAGACATACCTTGTGTATGGCTATGTTTTTGTTTGTCCTTCATCATTTGTCTCCTTAAAAGGATTAAAGTCACGGCAATCAAGAGGAGTATAGTAAAACTCAGTATTATAGACAATGCAATGAAACCATATAACCAGTGAGCTGTTGATTGGTCTGGATTCGATGATGAAGGAGTCGTTGGTCCATTACTAATTAAGAATAATAATGCAATGATAGTTAATAATAAAATTGAAAGGGGTATTACTTAGTTCGTTACTAATTGAAAATGATAATACAGTGATAATTAATAGTAATAAGGGTATTACTCACTTAATAATTGGTGTATTGATAGGAAGGTTAGATGAAGTGTAGAATTCTAAGCTTGCTGAGGATGGCATTACTTCATTACTGGATGCAAGAGTTTCCTCCTCTTTGCCTCCACAGGTTTTTAACTCCTTATAATACGATTGTGGCTTAATGCAAAATGCGCCACTGCTGTCATTCAATGGCCGCATGTTAATCCATGGTCTGCAATAGTAGCATCCCATGTCATTTACTGAGACGTTCCTTATATGTAGTATTAGTGTACGATGTGTTACTAGATTATTGCTCTCCATTGTCCCGTTTCTCCTGTTTCTTTGGAATTCAAAGGAATATTTTCTGTCTCCAACATATTGGGAGCATTGATAGCTGGGATAGAGCTGGCAGCCATTGGTTCTAAAGTTGCTCTCAGTATTTGACCAGTACCAAAGTAAAAGGAGAGATAAAGGAGATGTCAATGTGACTGGCTCCTCAACTGTACATTGCAGCATGATATCTTGCCCATAGGGATTACAAGATAAATTAAATGAGGAAGGATCATTTGGATATATTAAAGAATAAGACCCTGATATGGTAAGATTGTTATTACCATAATGAAATAAACAATTAACTTACTTGCTATTAATCCAATGAAGGTTACCAAGGACAGTAAAGGGACTTGCTTATTCATTGTTGGTTACAGTGATATAATGCGCTGGACGCAAGGCATTAATATATAGAGTTTTATCAGACACAACAAGTGAAACAAAACTTGTTTGTTATAAAGAACAAGGTGTGGTAGGAATGCATTACATCTAAGATAAATAATGCTACATGCTACAAAAACAGCAAAGTAAAAAGCTATTAATGAAAGACATCACAAACTACAACGTTAACTTTGTACAGTGTCGTATTGGGCTTCAGGAAACATCTGAGCATCTGACTCATTTCCAAGTCGATCATAAAGAGCATTAGCATCAGACTCAGCACACAATGGTGTTAAACCATCTCTTGTGAGTGTATTGTATGTTGTATGGTCACCAGCAGCTGGTGCAGGGGAAAGTGAACGTCCTGGGCTGCCCTTGTTTTTGTTTTTCTTATTAACAACGGCATATACTGCAGCTGGTTGTGGAGTGGGAATAGGAGGAGGTGGGGGAGCAGGAGGGGGACCGTTGGCTGGTTTAATTGCGTCATTACTTTGTTTCTCATTGCCAGTAACCACATCATACATAGGATCCAATGGTATTATCTGATCATTTTGTTTCTTGGTTTCCTCCGTATTGTGAATCTTGTACCCAGTACTATTATTATGAAAAAGTTAAATTAGATATAGAAGCTATACTGTATGATATAGTTTACTTTTCTTGTGTTTCTTCACTCTGTAGTGGAATATCTGTTACATAGATAGTTTAGCATCACATATATGTCACAATGACTATACCTTCTCCATCATTTCTTTGATGCTGCCTCAGTTGTCTTTTAAGCTTAATGTAAACATAACAGTTTCTCATCAGAATCAAGCTCAGAATCAAAACTAGACCACTACTAAGTATACTATAACCTGCAACAGCATACAGCACATAACAGCTCTCTGTACCAATAACAGAGAAGCAACTCTCTGCCATGTTTGATCCTCTTACTGACCAACTTCCACTTTAGACAGAAAACAAAACTAGCCCTATTGTGTATGACTTGGCAATATAAACAAATGTGACGGCAGTTAGAGTAGTTGACGTTATTCTTGAAAATGACACAGATGGTGCACAATCATATACTGATTGCATTAGGAATGACCAAACATTTTAAAAACATCACTGAAGCATAGTAAACACTGTCAACAAATATAACCTAGCAACTATTAATATAACTGTAATAATTATAAAACGAAAATGAAAATAAACTTTAATTACAACAACATTAACTGTTTTTTATCTCAGTTTTTATTTTCATTGATGACAGGCCGAAGGACTCTTGGGCAATACAACCCCTCGCTCTCTTCTATCTGATCCATTTCTACTGAAACCTCGCGACTAGAAGACCTGAGCCTTGTTTCCACAAGCTGTAATACTTGATCCAGACTCATGTATTGCTTTGAATCTTTCTTGTCAAATGAAGTCTCTGACAAAGGCATTGATTGTGTGTTATGATCTGTGAGGATGTGTAATTGTGGTGTTGAGCTAGCTGTTTGAAGGTTTCCATTGAGTGAATGACTATCAATGCTCATTGTTTGAGGTAGCTGCTCATATTTGGGATCATCAAACATGTCAATTGTTGACTGTGATTTAGTCAATACATTCTCCTGCTCCTTTTTAATTGTTATCTGATGGTATCCGTATGCATCTACTAATTCTTGTGGCTCTTCTTCCACGCTTCCCAATGGCTTTGTTGACGATAAAGGTATAGACTTTGATAACTTTGACGCACTTTTTAATGGAGATTTGGGAGGTGAAGAACCTTCAGCTTTCATCGCGTTAACAACATTATCCAACTCGTCATAATCTGCTGATTCAGATACATAACTCGTGGTCGTACGAATAGAAGCATCAATATCGCTGGAAACTTCACTTGAAACCCTGATTCGGTAATTTGAAGAAAACGACTCGTTAGGGCTTGTCTGTTGTAGATGATGATGTGGTGACTGGTAGTCTTCAAGTACACGACATAGCAAGGGAAAGTCTGACATAACAGACCTACACACATAGCAACACCCAGTAACATTATGGTCATAACATGTTGACGGTGTATGCAAGATTGAGGGTGTTGGTACATGGGTACATTGTGTGTATATACATAATTACATTGTTTATAACTTACTCTGTTGGCTTCTTGTCTCCATGAGCTCTCACTTTTGCATTATCTAAATTAATTGATGTAGAATAATATTGCATTTAGTTTGTCAATATTTCCACATATGAAGATGATAATGAAGTTTTCTTACGCTAATTGATGCATATTGGTATGAGCAAGTATGACGTGTACATTATCTAATTTAGTAAACAACTTGAACTTACTTGTTTTCTTTTTTGGAGAAGGTGATAGAGTTATGCTGTTGGGAACTTGAGCTTCTGTAGATTGTTGCCTTCCTGTTTCAGCTGATTGTCTTTTTGTTCTCTCAGGCTCACTGTTATTTGATGGTCTTCTATGCCAAATAATGCAAACAGCAGCTAGCAGAACAATCACAATCACTATCAGAAATAATATGACACCAGCTATGATGTAGATGTACTTCAATTGATTAAATAAATCATTAGTATCATCTGTTGGAGTAACAGTTGGTGATGGGCTACTAGAAGAAGCTATTATGCAAAGAATAAAGAATAATGAAGTAAAAAGCATTTCTTAATTCTTACACTGAGTATTTCCATATGGTAGTAGGACCAATAAGCAGACAAAAGCTAGTGCCATCTTCTTCATTACGGCTGTCTTGTCCTGTCTTTGTTCCAGCAGAATAATGACTACAGTTCTTAGCAACAATCCTTATATTCACAGGGTGTGCTCTCAAAGTTGTGACTAGGTGCATGTCTAATTGTTAATCAATGAAAGCCTGTCCTCTCTTAATTGTTGATGCTATGCATGTGCTATTTGAGTTATTACAATTCTGTTACAGGATGTGTACTGTATCATAGGTTTTCTGTGTGCAAATATTCATATTCAGAGTCTGGCATGAATTACGACACTAATTGTAGCTTTATGCATTTAATTTTTAGTTTCTATTAGTATGTGTAAACATGTATTAGACCTTATAGCTTAATTAGTCATACTCTGATCATCTGATGATACTCATGCCATCATGCAGCATCCAGTCTACAGAAAGGAAGCATTATAATATTTTATTGATATGCATCTGGATCAAATTATTTCACACAAATTGATCAGGCTCATTATGTTTTATTTTAGTTTCAGCATAATATAAATAAGTCGTTGTAATAATTAGGTAAAGAATTTAGTAACTGGTTGTCTTTAGTATACTTTTGGTATGCCTATGTGAGGAAATTGATATTTGTCTTGCCAATGCTTTAAAAAAAATAAATCTAGAGTCTAAATTGGTTATTAAATTGCTAAATTTTGTGAGAAAATCTTTTTTATAGCAATAAGTTCCTTTATTTTAGAGTTTATTTTTATAAGTCCATAATTGTTATTAATTAATTAATTATGCGATATAGCCACACCCACATGTTAAGATGTCGCCGATTTCACTTCGGGATCAATGTCTTCTCTTTATTGTTGGTCACTTATTCCAATGTGATAAAGGAGAGGAAGGAATATCTATTAGTCCTTTAGCTCTTCTTCCTCTCTTTATTCGCCGCCAGCTCTTGCTCCTATTGCCAGTCATTGATGTATGTAGACTAGACAAGAAAACACACCATTCACTCATGGTATAGCAATGGATGAGATATGGGAGACACTTTTTAACAAGAGATTGCCAATTCATCAGAAAGAACAAGCAGCTGATGAAGGTTACAATTTGTACACTCCTACTGAATGGAAGAAAAAAAGGGGACTAACTTGCAATTGGAAGGAATCGTATTTCCTTTCTTTATTCTCATTCTGTAATGGGTTTTGGAACACTGAATGTTACTGTGACAACCCTGATCATTTTCCAAAAGATTTGCTCTATGGTCTGTGTGACTATTATCCTCCTACGCATTTCTATCGTTTCTTTAATGATGGTAGTATCACTAGTCTTCATGGCATAGAGATGTATACCACATGTTCAGCTTTTCCTGAGCGATATCGCACAGTTTATCATTGTAATGAGGAAGAATTTTTACACGAAACATTAATCGATACATTAGTTGATGTCTGTAATGTGAAACTGAAGCATTTAGTTGTAGAGTTTTTTCAAAACAATATGTACATGGGAATACATGGGTGCAATTGTGCCACTAAGCTTGAGGATGAAATTTATCAACAAAAACTATCACAATTATTAAGTTTGTTGCAATCAGTTGAATTTATCACCAGTGATAAGCAAGATACAACGATAGCTAAAACATTTTTAGATAGTGTCATTCCCTGTGACTCAATAGAGAGGGTCTCATTTAACATATTTGATGACGATTTAGAGTTTTTGTTGTCTTATTTTCTGAAGCCTTCACAGTGTCATTTGAAGTATCTCAAAGTGGGCACTAATAAGACACCATCTCCTACACTATTTGACGTGTTAAAGCATCAACAAGAGCTGACATCTTTGATTTTGCATTTTCCTTCAGGCCCTGCGATAGACATTGGCAACCCAATTCTTCAGTGCATCACTGAAGATTTATTTTATCGTCCTGTTTTCAAGACGTTCTCTTATTACAGCTCTATGTGTGAGAATTTTGATGTCATTCTGGCATTTTTGAGGTCGTTTTTCTCTTCTCCATATTCAGAGTGTCTGTCATTTGAAAATATTCCTAGCATTCATTTTGATCCACTTCCCAACCCGTTGACTATTCAATGCAACAAGAAGAAGTCATTAAAGCTCTCAAACTGTTCGTTTTCTGATAGTTTCACATCTCTTCTTCCTCCTCATCTTGTCCTAAAATCATTCAAATTGAAAGGAGATTTTGATCCTGACAACAACAGTTGTATTACCATTTTCTCAAGACTTGGATCCATTGAAGTTGAAGTGTTTTCTATTAGCTGTTATGTCAATACTGAAAACTTTACCATCATCTCTTCACTTTTTAGCATCGTTACCGCAAAATCATGGAACTTAAAGCTTAAGATTCATGATCAAAGCAACACAGTACCAATCTTAGTAGATGCCTTATCTGCCATCAAGCCTGGACGTCTTCATTCCTTAAATCTTCAAGAGTCAATACTGACAGAAGAGAATGCACTGGCTATTCTAGAAGTCGTATTTCGGTCTCTTATTCCTACAGCAGAGCCTTATTTTGAACTGGATATTTCTTACATGGATTTAACTGAAGAGTTTGGTAGGTCTTTTCATGAGAAATGGAAGGAATGCATGGCTCAATCACAGTCACCTGTCAAGCTATTGAAAAAGATTATGTTTTCACATCAGGTAGATACTATTGAAGTATTAATGAAAGAAATGGCATCAATGGTAGACTATTGCTTTAAATTTATTGAAAAGGATGAATAATGTAGCTGTATTATTAGTATTGTAGATTATCTAGTTATTTTAATTTATTGCTTATTATTATCATGATTCCAGTTTAGGTTTTTTAATTATGGCAATAAAGAGGTAATGAGAAACTTGGCTAGTGCATCCTTATCAAATAGTTTGATATTTTGCTAAATTTTATAGGAAAATTTTACCTTTTTTCATAGCAAAAAGTTTCAGTCTAGTGATTATATGTATGTTTTTTTACCATGGACCAGTGAAATTGAGTGAAACCACACGATTATTATAAATCTAAATCTAACCACACCCGCCAAGATGTCGATCAACATCTCACTTCAGGATCAATGTTTTCTCTTTATTGTTGGTCACTTATTCCAATCTGATAAAGGAGAAGAAGGAATATATATTAGTCTTTTGGCTCTTCTTCCTCTCTTTATTCGCCGTCAGCTCCTGCTCCTATTGCCAGTCATTGATGTATGTAGACTAGAAAACACACCATTCACTAATGGTATAGCAATGGATGAGATATGGGAGACACTTTTTAACAAGAGATTGCCAATTCACCAGAAAGAACGAGCAGCTGATGAAGGTTACAATTTGTATACTCCTACTGAATGGAAGAATAAGAAAGGGCTCTCTTGCAATTGGAAGGAATCGTATTTTCTTTCTTTATTCTCATTCTGTAATGGGTTTTGGAACACTGAATGTTACTGTGACAATCCTGATCATTTTCCAAAAGATTTGCTCTATGGTGTGTGCGACTTTTATCCTCCTACGCATTTCTATCGTTTCTTTAATGATGGCAGTATCACTAGTTTTCATGGCATAGAGATGTATACCACATGTTCAGCCTTTCCTGAGCGATATCGCACAGTTTATGACGAAGAAGAAGTTTTACATGAAACATTAATTGATACATTAGTTGATGTCTGTAATGTGAAGCTGAAGCATTTAGTTATAGATTTTTATGAAAACGACATGTACTTGGGACCAATTGGGGCGAAACCATACGATTGTGCAAAGCTTAAGGATGAAAGCCATCAACAGAAACTGTCACGATTTTTAAGTTTGTTGCAATCAGTTGAATTTATCGCTGGTGATAAGCAAGATACAACAATAGCTAAAACATTTTTAGATAGTGTCATTCCCTGTGACTCAATAGAGAGGGTCACATTTGGTATGTTCGACGACGATTTAGAATTTTTGTTGTCTTGTTTTCTAAAGCCTTCACAGTGTCATTTGAAATATCTTAAGGTGGGCATTAATAAGACACCATCTCCTACACTATTTGACGTGTTAAAGCATCAACAAGAGCTGACATCTCTGACTTTGTATTTTCCTTCAGGCCCTGCAATAGATATTGGCAACCCAATTCTTCAGTGTATCACTGAAGATTTATTTTATCGTCCTGTTTTCAAAGCATTCTCTTATTCCAGCTCTATAAATGAGAATATTGATGTCATTTTATCATTTTTGAGGGCATTTTTCTCTTCTCCATATCCAGAGAGTCTCTCATTTAAAAATATTCCTTGCATTCATTTCGATCCACTTCCCAACCCATTAACTATTCAATACAGTGAGAAGAAGTCATTAAAGCTTTTAAACTGTTCATTTTCTCACAGTTTCTCATCTCTTTTTCCTCCTCATCTTGTCCTAAAATCACTCGAGATGAAAGGAGAGTTTGATCTTAATGGCAACAGTTGCATCACCATTTTCTCAAGCCTTGAATCCATTGAAGTGGAAGTGTTTTCTATTAGCTGTTATGTCAATGCTGAAAACATTGCCATTATTTATTCACTGTTTAGTATCGTTACCGCAAAATCCTGGAACTTAAAGCTTAAGATTCATGATCAAGGCAACACAGTACCAATCTTAGTAGATGCCTTATCTGCCATCAAGCCTGGTTGTCTTCATTTCTTAAACCTTAAAGGGTCAATACTGACAGAAGAGAATGCACTGGCTATTCTAGAAGTCGTGTTTTGCTCTCTTATTCCTACAGCAGAGCCTTATTTTGAACTGGATATTTCTTACATGAATTTAACTGAAGAGTTTGGTAGGTCTATTCATGAGAAATGGAAAGAATGCATGGCTCAATCACAGTCACCTGTCAAGCAATTGAAAAAGATTATGTTTTTAAATCAAGTGGATACTATTGAAGTATTAATGAAAGAAGTGGCATCAATGGTAGATTATTGCATTAAATTTATTGAAAAGGATGAATATTAATAATTGTAGTAGATCTATTGTAGTATATCTAGTATTTTTTGTTTAGTTATATTCATTTGGGATCTAGCAATTTGAAAAATCATTTCTATTAAGTTATTTATATTGCTAAACTGCCATTTTTGACCTTGTAATTTAAGTACATGACATAATTAGAATAAGCTAAAACTTCCTTAATAAATTTAGCATAAGAGCTAACTTAGATTAGGTAGAGAGCTGTGTCCATTGAGTTTTGATGGCTTGCCCATAATATTTACTAGATCTGTTTTCCCATTTGATGACATGGTATACCAGGGTTTCCTATAAAGTATGCCAAGTGAGTTAAAAAGCGTGCTTAATGAGTTGACAAGCCTTATAAAATAGCATACAGGTTTTGGAGCAACATAAAAAATTCAATTTTGATCAGAGTTAGCTCAAAGTTTTCATGATCATAAGAACATGTATATATATGTATCAGAAAAAATTGTAAAAATGCAAAATTTTCTCCTAGCAATTTTTGGCAAAAAGTCTACTTTTGCCCCATTTTTGAGCAATTTGAAAAATTTATAAATTTTATTGGAATCAGCTTAAGCTTTCTACACAACATAAGTACATGTATATGGATCAAAAAAATTATAAAAATGGAGAGTTCTTGAGTTTTAATTTTTGATGAAATTTGGTCAAATTTCCTGTACTATAGTTCAGTTACTTTTGTCTAATATTTGAGTAACTTTAAAATTGATTGAATCAATAAATTATATAAAATAAAAATGGATTAGTTGATTTTGGAGTAACTTCAAAAAATTCTTAAAAATCTAAATGTGATCAAAATCATTTCAAACTTCCTACACAAAATAAAAATATGTATATGTATCAGGAAAAATACAAAAATAAAGAATTCTCTCCTTTTCATTTTAAAAAAAATTTTGACCAAAGACCCTGCCTTACTAATTCAATCTAACTTTTCTATTATTTCATTTTTAAAAATTATTCCTCTTATTTTTCACTTCATCATTGTTTTGGCGTACTATTCATTTTTGTCCTGTATTTGTTATTAAAATGTTTATGTAAAAGCTCAGTTCCCTTTTTCACCATGTACTATAGTACGGGGCAATTTTGGAGCAAAATTAAAAAATTGTAAAAATTTAAATACGGTATGATCGGAATCAACTAATACTTTCTACACAACATAAAAACATGTACTGGTATTTGTATCAAGAAAATTATTAAAATGGAGATTTTTCTCCTTTTTATATTTGGCAAAATTTTGCTGAAGAGCATCTTTTTGAGTAACTTTTTAAAATAGAATTTTTATTTGGTAACTAAGTATAAATTCTCTTTATTAATAATATGTATACACTTTCTCTCTTTTTGGATGGACAAGAAATGAAGATAGGAGGATTAATTAGTACATGTAATTATCCACAAGGCTACACAGTGATTATTAAATGCACTCATAAATTTGTATTCTCTTTTCACACAAACTAAGTAATGTATAGCTATATATAAAACAAATGGCTATGCTAAAACTATAGGAAATGTTTCTGTTACATTATATTAAGTAATTCCAGTACATTCATTGTGGCATATGCTCATAAACAGCATCAGGTGATGTTTGACATTCCTCATAAACTCCTTCATTCTCTTCACTTTGTTTAGTCTTGTGAATTTCGTATGGTTCACATACTTGCATTGAAATATCATCATCAGCTCTATCATCATAATTATTAATAAGTAACTTTAAAATAGACTAACTTTGTTTGCTTATTAATAGTACATTGACTTTTCTTTCTATAAGAAAACAACAAACATTTATTATACTAGTATGTAAACTCTACCTTATAAAGCAGTAGATATGAACAATAACACTGACAGTTAATAGACCACACAATATACTCACTAACACACTAAGAGCAATAACACTATCTGATGTATCACTAGTTGATGGAATTACTGAAACTGCAGGAGTAGCAGTACAGACTGAAGTACAGGCTATATGTCATACATAAAGTGTACAAAAAAAATAGTTCATGATACTTACTTATTGAACAATACTCAGTAGATCTAGATGAGGTAGACATAGCTTCAGTAGTTAATAATGTAGAAGATGATGATTGAACTGATGATGTGAACACTATATTCTATAGTTTCACAGAACTAATATAGTATAATAATTACATACCTATTCCAATCTCTACTACAATAGGATCACTGAAGGGACCTCTTCCAACAGAATTGACAGCAGCTACACTGAAGTTATACTCAGTACCAAATACTAGATCATTCAATATGATATATCTCTCAGTACTGGTGAGGTTGTATGCCATGCTACTGTTACTAATAATCACTGTATAGCCTTTGATTAGACCATTACGCTGAGAACAATTGACCTTATTCCAAGTGAATTTATTAGCTGTTAAATTAACTGGTGAGGCTTGAATTGATGAAGGCCAACCACTAGGAACTACAAATCACAATAAATTAATTATTGAAAAAATAACTTAAATTAATATTAGTACTTATTGCTTTGGTTTGTACTGTGTTCATGCTTAATTCAGATCCTCCTAGTACATTACCAGCTCTCACTGTGATGGTATAGTTCATACCACTGTACAGACCTATTAATGTATAACTGTATGTTGTAGTGGACTGATGAGGAGCAACAGAGACTGTCTCATTCACTGATGATAACTGGAGACAAGATGGAGTATAGGAGATGGTGTAGTATGTTACATAGTTGTCACTACTGGGAATAGTCCAGTTCACTGTAATACCAGTGGTTGAGACATTAGATACTGAGAGACTAGTTACTGGACTAGGAACTAGAACAGATATCATTTACACTCTCTCAATAATAATAACTCACCATCAAATCTTAACACTGTTACTGTACTATTAACTGAAGGAAGATCGATATACAAGTGCACACTGATGGTATAGGTACTCATTGGTGAGAGATCT